GTGTGTGTGTGTGTGTGTGTGTGTGTGTGTGTGTGTGTGTGTGTGTGTGTGTGTGTCACTCCTGCCTCAGAGGCAAAGTGTGTCAGTTTTGCTTTCAGGAGGTGCTGATGCAATGAGTGATGAATACAAATATGTTGTGCTACATCTGAAAGTGAGTTAAACACATGGGCCACAAAATATTTCAGGTGTTGGCCTTCAAATGTCAGCGTGCTGCTTTTCTGCAGCAGCAGTCTTTGTTGTGGACCAACGAGTTCAGTGCCAGCTTCAGATTTCAAATAAATATCAATTTTTTTCTAATGTTTTGCATAAAGAAATTTAATTTACTTATTAGTGACTTTAAAGTGCCTGTGACATGCATTTCCTTTAAATACAACAAGTCTAAGAAAACGTCATTGTYTTTAAGAAATTTGGCTTATTTATGGTTTTACCTACCTAAACAGTTCTATTACTCTCATTCTATATTTCATAAAAAAGCTTATGTTCAGATCTGAAGCAGTGATCCTAACCTCCCGCTCTCCGTGTTGCAGGGAACGAGCCGTCACCTCTGGGCTCGGTGGAGAGCTACAACCCAGGGAAGCGACGCTGGGAGTACGCGGCGCCCATGCCCACGGCGCGCTGCTCCTCTGCCCTGCTGCAGACCYCCAGCATGCTGTTTGTGATCGGGGGCGTTGCCCAGGGACCCAGTAACGCCGTGGAAGCCCTCTGCCTGGAGGAAACAGTGTGACCCATGCACACAGACACAAACACACAGGCGCGGGAATAAACGCAACCTGGCGTTGATATTTTCTTCACGGATGAGTGAAAACTCAACYTAAACCTGAGTCGAAGCCACAGGTTGCGCGGAAATAATCTTACCTTGATGCTCAACTGATGGATTCCTCTTTTACGCTGACTTTTTTAGCCATTTAACAAGAGAACGTTAGTGAAGGAGCTGAACAAATACAAGATTAAGGACATTTTAGGGGATTTTTTGTGACRGGCAAGGACAGAAAACTGAGCTTTTTTCCTTCTCTCTGGAGAAATCAGAAGACAACAATGAGCAAAAAAAACAGACACGCTGACTCTGTGTCTGACGACACACAATGGCTTTGAACTGTTGAGCATTTTTTCAGAATAAAAGCAGGGTTTTTTTCTGGATAATAAAGGAACTTAGGGCCATAATTGAGTCTCCTCTTTGCAGCAGCGTCGTTCTTCTGCAGCGGCACAACCATCCGACTCTTTTCTATCATGTTTTTTTGTTTTGTTTTGACATTGTGCTGAGAACGTCTGTTGTGACTTTTTTTTAAAAGAGTGTWGCAAATGTGAGCACCACAATCACAGCATCAATAACAGCCGTCCGTTACCTTGAGTTCTCACAAGTCGAGCAGCTGCCAGTCAGAAACCCAGCAGTGACTGACCGTGGCCACAGTCACTGTTTTCCTGATTGAGGAAAAGATTGACAGCGCTTGAACTTGTCGGCACTTTGCTTCGCCACTCGTCTCCCCGTCCACGCATCGCAGCAATCAATCACTGAGCTCAAACCGCTGCTCACGCTGTAGCCCAGGGAGGGTTTCACTCGTTCACCTACCTGCTGCACTGAAGCATCCGGATCAATCAGCTTCCTGTCGCCTGATGAGTGTGTTCCCCCGAGTCAACGCTGCTCAGTTTATTATTAAACTTAACTTAAACCTACCCTGATCTGTTTTACCTGAGCAAACTCGTTTATTTCTGTTTGAGTTGAAGTTATTGAATGAAAAATATCGTAGCATGAAAAGGGTTTTAGCACAGCTGCAAATGGGATACTTAAGAAAAAGGAACATTTTATTTACATTTTATAGAGTTTTCCCCAAACATCTTTTGCTCTTTTTCTGAAATTGGATTTTCTCGTCCTCCTTGGTCAGGGGTCTGCAACTTCTACGATCAAAAGAGCTGGTTTTATCTGAAAATGTGACCCTAGTTTCTCTTATTTGTCCTGTAGACATTTAGAGATGTAGCTTTAGTTAAGGCCCTGTCACATTATGATGTTTTAGACAATTTATGCCAACTTATGAAATGTTTGGAGACATCTCAGTTGAGGATGGAATTTAAAAAAATCAACTGGAAGCCTCTTTTGGTTGTCTACCAGGGGCGGAGCCAGGGGGTGGCCAGGGGTGYCCAAGCCACCACAGACAAATCTTTGGCCGCCCCATTGGCCATCCTGCTGTACACACCCATTACACAGTAAAACAAACTGCAGGGGTGTAATAATCCTCCTGAACAGTTGGTGGCAGTGTTTAACTGTTTGAAACATCACCAAGCTCAAAGAAGTGACACAAAAGTGATAGTTTCCTTTATATACAGAACATATGCCTATGTAATCTGACTTATGATGACATTTCTGTTACGAAGGCTGCATGATGCTCTGTCACTTTTGGTTCTGAGTAGACCTATCACTAAATCAGAAAAAGTGAAATGCCCCTTCAAATTCACTGTTGGTGGTAAACAATATTGCACCTAAAGTAATTGGATGTGATAAATTGTATCACATTAATTAACCTTATCTCAGCTGCGGCAGTGAGTTTATAAACAGCATAATGAAACTAGTTTAATGAAGAATCTGTCTCTGAAATAATTATTAAATCAAGTGTTTATTTATGTAGGTAAAATTATGTTAAACAATCTGGTAAAATACACCAGAATGCTGCAAAGGGCATCTATTTCGTTGAAAATTTTCTGGGGGAGCACCCCCAGACCCCCCAAAAGTATGTCCCCCCACTTTTAAAATGGTTCTGATGCCCGTGTTTATAAGGCAGTCACTGTCTGTAAAAGGCATGACCAAAACACAAAGATCTGCAGAAAATTACAAGTAAAAAATTCATGTAATTTTCCTGGCCACCCCTGTGTGAGTAGTGCTCCCCATCTGGCCACCCCTGAGAAAAATGTCTGGCTCCGCCACTGGTGTCTACATACTGTAATGCTAACAAATTGATCAAATATCTAACTTTTGTTAGAAATTTCATGTTTTTTTTTCATTAATAAGTTGTCTAAAATGTTATGACAGGGCTTTTACATGAAACCTGCCCACCTACAGCAAAAAGTTCCTTGTTTAAGAGAACACAATGTAACAAGACTCTGTTTGCTCACGTTAACGGGGCTGCAAGGGATTCATTTAATATACTTTCCACTGAAAGGATTTGTTATAATGACCTTGTTATAATGAGCAGAAATAACAATGTGTTAGCAACTTGGAGTAAAGCTGCAGAGGATGGAGGTAAAGCTCAGGCTGATGTTCTCACATCCAGCAGACACAGCTCAGCATTAGGGCTCATTTGCAGRTGTGTTTCTGGCAACGTCTAGTTCCTCCTGAGGAAAATCTTGAATGTTTATCAGCTGAATGTTGTGCAGACTGAGTCGGAGCAGGTAGTGAGCTGTTTGCTATCAGAGCTTCAGGTTTGCTGAGGAACCTGATGGAGTCAGGTCAGGTTCTTTTACGTTCGTTTTAAAAACACAGTAAGGCCATCGAGAAGTCAACATCATAAAACGTGTGATGAGGAAACGTTCAGGCTCAGTCTTTGTTAGCTTCATTTGAACAGTTTGCACGACTTAAAAAGATTCAGTACGTTTGTAATGTTTCCTTTTTAGTTGTGTACTGAGCTGTGGTTGTTGGGCACTAGATAAAAGCTAGAAACTGTTTGTAATAAAACTTTTTAAAAATATCCATAAATCTTTGTTTTGTCGTGTTTAGCAGAGAGTTTACAGTTTCACGCTTTAGTTTTACTGATCACTGCGAGTCCCGTTCATCCAGATCTGACTCACAGATTGGGATCAAGCTGGGYTGCTGTGTTTTGCCCAGGGGCACTTCAGCATGAACCATCAACCTGACGAGCAGATTAGCACCTTTCCTACTGAGTCTCAGTTTTTGCAGATGTACCCGTTTGGATTTCAAAACACCTGAAAGTAGAATATTTCGTGGATTTAGGTGAGAATTAACCAGCTAACTTTGTTTTTAAGAAGTGAGGCAGCAAATCCACACATGACAAGACATTTCTTGTAACACAAAAACAATATATATATATGAGAACAGAAGCTCCGGGCTGTTTCAGCACAGTAATGAGCTCAAACAGCATAAAGATCAGCACTTTTCTCCACACGTTGTCTCTAGAATCAAGAAAAAACCACAGCAGACATGAATTTGTTCAGCTCTGGCGCACTCACACCGTCCCCGGGTGTCACCAGTTTCTGTGCGTTCAAAATCTGCGCGCAGCCGTGTCATTGTGTCAGAGTGTTGTTGTGCTGCTGTGTGGGTGAACAAATGCAAATTCACACCTCTTATCAGAAGCTGTCTGGGGGCTGCACACTGCCTCCTTTGTTGTTTTTCCAGCTTTTCCATCCATTTTACATGTCGCCCTCCAGCTGCCATCAACTTTTGGGACTTTGCCAGAGCTAGCTATCTTGTCAGGATGTCTAGATTTTTTTTTTTTTTTTACGTTTTGTTTTTTGGAAACCTCTCTCTCTTCCTCCTGTCAGAATCAGAATGCTGAACTGAGATGATGCCCGATAAATCCTGCATTTGTTTCCAGTTGAAAACCTGCCTCTCTGGCTCTCCACATGACMCTCGGCTGTTTGCTCATCAGGGCGTAATCCTGGGGTGCAGAACAAAAGAACGGGATGCTTCAGTGCAGGTAGCAGCTAATTATATGCTGTATTTTTTTTTTTTTTTTTTTTTTTTTTTTTTTTTT